AGAGCAGAGCGAACAGGATGACCACAACAGCCAGCATCTTTGTTATCTATTGAGACAGCAGAGGAAGGAAATAAGGAATAACAATGAGGAAGAATACAATTATGTGAATTATCTCAGCAGACATACTGCATGCCATGACTCAGAGTTTACTGTCAAGTGAGTGTTGTAGAGGATGCCCAATATGAATCCATGACGCACATAAATAGCTCTAAGGCTGTACATAAGGACAGGATAGGTCAGTTTGCAAACATGCTTGCGGTGAGAATAAAAGACCCTGTCAACCACAGTGAGAAAGTCTGCTATCACAGAGAGCCAAATGATAAATAATATGTTGATATGAAGATCATAGCACTCAGTTTAAGTCCTTGAAGACATTCATAGTGTTTACTTTTGCTAATTAGCCCTAAAGACATTTGTTAATTAGTCTCATCAGTGAAAGCTGACGGGTTGTTGGTACCTTTTGGCTATGAACAAATAATTTGGACAAATGAATTTTGATCAATTGTTTCCTTAGGCTAGATGAAAACATAATTGAAGAACAAAACAATTACAGCCCACCTCGAGGGGGATGTGAGTGGCCAATCCAAATGTCATGGCAAACACTAATAGTTCTATTAGTTCACTCAAAACTACAAAGGTCAGGTTAGCGGGGATGGCAGAGACTGGTTTCCTCCTCTGGGAATACTCAGCGTGTTTATGAACTATCTTGTCAGGCTGTTGAGTTATTTAACTGTGGTATAGTCAAACCCATCCACAAAGCCACTTTGAACCCAAACAAGCACCCTATTAGGACTGAGCCTAAATCTGTTTTGACATTTAAAAATGGATTTTTATTCAGAACCACTCAGAAAACCTTTTATTACTTTTATTTCCTTTTCCCTCTAAGCTTCTTGTCTTTATAACCTTAGCAGTACCTGTTTTCTTGCAGAGACTGCACCCTTGTTGGCCTTGTTGGTGGTACTGGAGTGCCCCTGGTGAACTGACCCGCCTCCGGCTCGGTCGTTAAGATGCGAAGGCAGAGGGCTCATGAACAAAATTCTGGCAATGAGCCCATACAGCACAGTGGCCACAATGAGAGGGATCACATAAAACAGAGTGAAATCTAGGAAATAAATTGGCATGTAGAGGCTTCTGGAGACACGGTAGCCACAGGTGACGACCACCCCGTTGGTATAGACGGTCTCATCTGTGTCCACTAAAAAGAACCACATCGTGCAGTAGAGCGAGGTAAAAATCCACACTCCAGCTATGATTCTCTTGGCTCGGGAAACAGTACATATGAACTGTGCCTTTATGGAGTGACAAATAGCAATGTATCGTTCAATAGTGAACGCTGTGATGGAGCAGGATGACACGTTGATGCCCAGGTACTGAAGATAAGTTATACACAAGCATCCCGTGTAGCCATATATCCAGAAGGCTACAACATCAGAGATATTAGGCAGGCCTGCAGCCAGGAGCACAATGAGGTCTGCGACAGCCAAGCTGACAAGGTAACAGTTAGTCGGGGTCACCATGTGTTTAGTGCGCAGAACAACCAGCACCACCATGATATTCCCAGCAATCCCAACTCCACAAATGAGCATGGTCAAAAATATCGTTATGACTTGTTCTTCAAGAGGGTTCAGAGGCATTTCTGTCAGATTTACAACCCGACTGACATCCTGAAAGGTGGTTGTGTTGTTCTCCATCTTGCTCAAGTCCAGCTGCCAAAATTCAGTTAATCTTCAGGGGCAAAATGGGAATCCTCAAGGCAAAAATGTGGAGAAACAAAATTATTAGACAGCAGTTTTGCTTGCAGGGTGTTCAATATTACAATTCTTTTTGTAAAAGCCTTTAATTCTTGTCTAGATTTTTTAAAAGTGTAACACTCCCTCTCCCAGCTACAGTTTAAAACCAGTGTACGGATGCACCTTGATTAAAAGGGGCATATCATAAGAATAATTTAAAATTAGTAAATAAATAAACAAGAAGCCAAATTCAAACAACAGAGACCGCCTGAAGGTTTTCTGGTGTGACAGCCTAAATGCAACAAAATATAATAATACATTATAAGATGAACAAACATAAACATAAACAAACAAACATGAGCATAGACAAATTGCTTTTGTTAAACAATGACCTCAGCCAATTAAGTTCAAGCTTTTTAAATAACAATACTGTGTGAAATGTTTAGTCTAGCGCTTTGTTGATCCATTCACTCACTTTAATCTCCTCCCTATATGGACTCCTGTTGCAATTATTCTGGCACAAGGCTTGAAAACATCAGTTTGTCACACTTCATAAAATAACTGTAGCAAGTTCTGTATACGATATAAATATCGACATACGATTATGTATGATAATAGATTTTAAGAAATAGTCCTAACAGCCATCAATGCACACATTAAAAGCAGCAACTTGATTTAAAAAGGTGCTACAATTATGCTTCTAAAAAGAAAACTCCCATCTTCATAAATGCTAATGTTGTCCTCATTCAGTTCATTATTAAACACTGATTTTATTCAATGCTTGGATGTGATAAAAAAAAAAAAATGTAACCCTCAAAACTGAAATGATTGTTCTCCTCTGCATTAAAGGCCATCATGCACACTAAATCTATAATTTCCAGCAATTTGACCCTTTAAAAACATCTCACAAGGTAATGCTGCAATATACATTTAGGGTGATCAAAAATGTGAGGCTTTCCCAGTTCTCCTACAAATGCCGGACTCTTCGGGAAGGAACAAAAATGCACATTCGGATTTGATTTAGTTCAGGGAAACAAAATAATGAGATGATAAAGGGAAAAAATTGGCAGCTTACCATCATTTGTGAAAGGCAGTACCCAGGTGCAGTATCCTAGGAAATATAAGTGACTGCTTAATCCTCTTTCAGAGTTGCTCCAGTCGCCCACATCTGTCTCACTCGCTCTCTCTCTCTCTCTCTCTCCCTCTCTCTCTCTTTTCCCAATATACTCCTCCCTCCACCTCACACCATTATATCCAAACCCACCTCCTACAGTCACCACCTACAAATCAATTTCATCTTACCATCCAAGCCCTGAACATCATGTCAGCTTCTGTGGCTATAACCCTGTAATTACTGAAAGAACAGCGCGGGCACCATGCAATTCAACACACCATCCACTGGAATGATTGAACATGCAATTAAAATAGCACTAATTGCTGTATTAAGTACAGCCTTTGTGGACACCAGATGTAATTTAGTTAACTCTTCTCCTTGTATAATTTACATTAAATTCTCCAGTTTTCTAAAGTGTGTAGAATTAGAATAATTCTTCTCCCCAGAGGGACAAACAGACACAGACATCCTAAGATTAAGAGTCTTGCTATTCCCAGGATGCACATTTGGGAACGCTTTTACAGCTTCTGCCATTATACATGTGTGGGTAGAGCTGATATTGTTAAATTGTTGCACTCCACATAGCAGAAAAAATGATAACACTGGTCATCCACAAAATCAGAAGTGATTGAAAACAGATTAAAAAGCTTTTTGACCCTCTGTCTTTGGACAAAGCTGTCACTGAGAATACTAATGCATGCAGATTCTTGGATTTTCAGTCTGCAGACTGCGTGTAATGAATATGTAACAGTGTCAAAGAAGAAAAAAACTTACAGAACAGGTAATTTTCTGATTGAACTGCTTCATGTTATGAAAGCTTAATGAGGATTATAGTTAGTGTGTTTAGAAGCCCACATGTCAAGTCAAAGGTATCAGTCAGAGTTTATGAAAAATATACATAAAAGGATGATAAAGTGATTTATTTTATTTTGTTTTATTTACTATAACACAGGAGCAATAACTCATAATATCAGACTAAACATGAATAATTTATTATTATCATCTCTACGCTGCTGAGACAATTGTGAAGTGGCCAAAAGTCACGAGTAAAAATAGACAATGAAGAAGTCTATTAATATTCTGGGATGAGGTCTTAAAATAAACCCTCACAGCCTCATGGGAATTTAAAGCAGGAGCATACTGATATGCAAAAGAGAAAGGAAATAGGGGCACTGTGATTAAAATAAGCTGACGAATCATTGGACATGTGGATGAAACAGATTCCTTTAATCTATTAAAGATATTCGGGTCAGTGCAGTGTTCCAAAAACTGTAAGATCCGACCTGTTACTGTTCATTTCCTGACAGGAACTACTACCTCTTATTAGTCTTTGTCCCCAGCTGTCCAAAGCACCATGGTGGCATCTAGTGGGGCTGAGTGGTAAAACAACAACAAAAAAAAGGCTAACTCGCAGAGAAATAAAAGAGAACACGGAAAACATTGCTCTGTGATGATATCATGGGGGGGAAAAAGTTACCAGGCGAGTCTCTGTCCAAAACAAGATGCAGATTCAGCAGAAGTGTTGGTGCATCGCTTTGAACCACAGGCGGGAGGTTTGAAGAGGCGTATGTTGAGTGTTGACTCGCTTACAGAGGAAAGGTGTTATAACTGTGACTCATACACAGGATGCACTGTATTCAGTTTACATTTTGCAAAACAGAAACAACGAAGACCACCGAATGATACAGACATCAAAGAAAACAAGAAACAGTGTGAGCCCTGTGAGCCAAAAGGTCAGGATTGAGACAGCTCTGTTATTTCTACTCTTGTTTGAAGTCGTTGAACAGCCTTAATACGACACAAATACACAGCTCTGTGGGCATGAACCTTTTGTTTGCAAAAAGCCTCAAATTAAAAAAAAAAACAAAAACTGAAGTTGGCTTTGATGGGTGTGAGTAGGGATAGAGAATAAAGAGAGGGGCTGCACCAAAGCCCAGTATAAGATAACTCTTCGAACTGTGAATCAAACAAAGCTATTCCATTAGAGTTCGTAATTAAAAGGCTAACAGGACAGATCATACCAATATACAAAATTACACATCCACACAACTCTGGTTACATCACAAAGTGAAAGTACCACTAGATAAGCTGATCCAAATGGTCTAAACATGCAACCCATTGTCATAGCAGTCTATTCATTAGCTGGTACATGTCATTCAAACTTGCACATGAACAGAAATGTGCCCTTTTCTGTGTTTTTTATTTTGCTTCACATGCATTTTCCTCATCAAGTAAGCTATTCTCGTCTCCTCCTGCTTTCTGAAGAAGGATGCAGAGATTTTTCTGCGTAGCCGCCTTGCATAAACCTCAAGGAAAACCAGAAAGTAGCTCATCAGCCAGAGACATCCCAGCAGGAGTGTGACTCCCAGGTTTGGAGCTGAAGTTGTCACATCACAGAGAGATGGCCCAGGGCTGAAATTCCACTTGTAATCCCTGTGGAAGTTTACCAGCTCCCGTTTGATGCAGGATTGTGGGATAATACAAAACGCAGGGGGGAACCACTGAACCTAAAAGGAAAAACAAATTTATAAAAGACTCCAAAAAGCCAAAAAGAAAAAGAAAAAAAGATTAAATTGAGCAAGTGCTGTCTTACCTTATAATTGACACTTATAACAGCAGATGTAGGTGGAAAATCCAGCAACCATGGCACAATCATCTGAACTATATAGTACACAACATGATCCAAAACTACTATTAGGGTTATTGCAATGAAATATAAAGTCACCACAATCAGTGATAGGAAACAAGAGGAACATTCCTGACTTATTACTTTACAGTTTTCAAGATTGATTTTATTTTTAGCTGGCCTTTCATTAATTGGCATTTTTTGCAAGAGCTCGTTGGAAATGTACCCATTATCAAAATGAACTGATGTCAGATAAGATTTCAAGTAGCGTGCAGATTCAGCGATCAGCAGTGCAACAAAGACGGCAGCAAGAATCCGGTTTGACAGCAGTTTGTATTCTCTGAGGAGGTTCCTGGCATGTGAGAAGTTGACCTCTATCTTCCCAATTATCTTAGTAAACATGCTTTTGACATCTGACACATCAATATGCGTGTAATGATCCAAAGTCCTTAAGTTGGTAACAATGCTCAAGTCCTCCCACTTTACTTTGATGGCTTCTTCAACAAGGTCTGTCTTGGCTTTGTTCAAAGGTTCAGATGAGTTTAATAAAGTCTTTGCAAAACCCTCAGCAGTGCATTTCAGGATGCGTGCCACTGCCCCCACATTTACTGTGATATTAGGGATGACATTCAGCACCAAAATCATGACAGAGGCCGTGATGAGGAGTTTCCGTCCTTGTTTGGTGCAGACTGTAGGAAGAATCATTGTTAGCACACAGCGCAGGGGATGACACAGGAAGGAGACCAAAAACATGCTCACGCTGTAGATACTGACAGTTTGAACCGACGCTTCGTAATCATATCTCAGACTCTTTGACAGCCAGTGGTGAAGCAAGCCACCAGTAACACAGGCAAGTGTGAAACAGAGAGACAGCAGAGTGAAGATGTCCCTGCCTGCAGGAGAAGGTGCAGAGTAAACGTCCCAGAGGTATGACAGCAGAGACGTTAAGGCCTGTCTGCAAGATCCTGCTCTCTTTCTGAGGATAAAACAATACAACACTTTCTATTTAGAATATTTAAAGATTCAACGGAGAAGTGGCTCTAAGCATTTCTTATTAACACTAAACAGTGCAGAAGTATTTGTCCCCTTTCTATTTTTTTTTTTTCGCATAGTTGTCTCATGTTTCAGATGGTCTAACAAATCTGAATATTGGATAAAAACAACACAAACAAATACAAAATACAGGTTTAAATGATAATTTTACTTATTAAAGGAAAAAAGGCTATTCAAACCTACCTGGCTCTATGTAAAAAAAAAGTAATTTCCCCCCTAAATCACAAAATAACTGATCAACTACATCTTTTGGAAAGCTTAAATCCTCCCACCAGCCCTGAATTGTTAGTCCAGTTGAATCAAGAAATCACTAAACTAGAACTTGTCTGACAAAGTAAAGTAGGCTAAAACATCTAAAAAAGCAACACATTATGCTCAATCTATAGAAACTCAAGATCAGAGGAGAAACAACAACATCTATAAGACTAAAATATTGAAACATATGCTAAACTAAAACATTATTTTTTCTTCTGTCTGCACGTTACAAAAAACCATGCAACTATTTTTTCCCTATTGTGTTATTTTACAAATAATGCATTTTCAATGCCTGGGTTTGTAAAAGACACAGTGGAAAACAAAAGTTTTGTAATAATGAGATAATAATCATAATAATAATAATAACAGTTAATTATAAATAATTTAAATAACAAAAAAATAGATCAACTCCTACCTGACAAGCAAAACAAAATTTTCTGTGATCATCTTCATCCTCTCTAAGAAATTAGGAGCCTGGGAAAATAAACAGGAAGTGTTGGTGGACTGTAAAAGCTAAAAAGGGGAACTTTGCGCAACAGTCACTGTCATGTTGGTTGCCTACAAGTTCCACGTGGGAAAATAAAAAAGATAGTCCCTCTGCATCGAAACCACACATGACACAAAATCATATGGAGAGCATGACACACTCGTAAGCCCTATGTGGCAGGTCACACTAACCAAAGTGCGCTTTCAGAATGATTTGATGATGGTGACACTGACAATACAAGTAACAGAGCACTTTGCTTATAACTCCTCTTCTAAACTGAAAATAGTTTAGATGACATAACACTTTTGTGTGTCATCTTTCCTCTGGTTTGTCATCTGAATGTAGTTTAAAAGGTTTCTACCACTGAAAATTACTTTCTGTCTTGTGTCAACTGATCTTGGGTGCTAAGAATTAAGAATATAATCGAGAATAAGATATATTAAGCAATTATATCTAGCAACAACTTTAGCTCTTGAATGGAGGCAAGAAATCCATGAAGGTGGGTTTGTTTTCTCTTTTTTGTCCAATTGAACATCAGAAAACATCAGAATTGCTTCAAGTTTAAACAAATAAAAGCTGACATTCAGTAACCACCTTGTGTTTTACGTTTTGTCCACTGCGTCCTTAGTTACTCGGTTTGGTGGAAGCAATGCCAAAAAAAAATCACAAGGTTCCTGGGAGGACCCTAAAACTGCAGACAAGCTAATGTTACATCTTCAATCCGTAAGCCTTGTTTATTTACCTACCAAATGGATTATAATTTTCACACAGGTCTTGAATACGTAGGAAGTTTATTGGCACTGTGTCTTGGGATTGTTAATTTGTTGCTTGGCCATCCTGGCTTACTTTTGTTACACCAGCTCCAGGAAAGCACACCTTGTTTTAGTTCCCTTTTGGACTCTAATAGGAACCGTAATGTTCACTCTGCTATAGTCAATAAGAGTATAAACTAGTGTTGAGACCGCAAACATGTAATGGGGTCAAACATTCGAAGGAGATCGAGGCTATTTTTCCTTAGACTTCCTTTGGAACCAAGTGAGTCAGGTGAACATCAGAAAGAATTCAGGTTTAAGGGACTGTCATGTTTAAATGGGCAAAGGGACCTAAAATCCAAAAATCCAAAGAAGAATAAAAAATCCATGAGACACCACAATAAAGGACACCTGACACTATTTATACTGAAAGACACACAGGGGTAATCGGCAGAAAACAATTGAATAGGCAGGAATAAACTAACACAAATGAATTCAATTCTAATCAATAAACCTAAAGGCAGACAGACACCCTAAAAACAATAAAAGTTTAAAAAGATCATAAGAAGTCAAAACTGAGTCAGGACTCAGGACTATGATGGATACTCGGTGCTGGCATACCTGTTTGTAATGAAAGCTGTACCCATGGCTCCTAAAAGCCTTCCTCAAAGCCTACTGTAACTTATTCGGCGCGATATGGCAGCCTCGCTTCGGTCAGTCTGCCCCAGGGCAACTGTGGCTACAACTGTAGCTGCCTCCACCAGTGTGTGAATGTGAGTGTGAATGAATAATGGCATTGTAAAGCGCTTTGGGTGCCTTGAAAAGCGCTATATAAATCCAATCCATTATTATTATTATTATTCAAGTAAGCTAACCTGTCAGCTGTGCACACAGTGTGAGTTGTTAGAGAAGATACACAAAATACTTAATTACTTATAGTGGTAAAAAGGTAGGCCTATTTATTTTGAGTCTTAAATACTAATTGGTTTTTGTTTCAAATTTTAGGAATAACACACACACAAAATAAATAAAAGCATCAAGTCACAGTTATGAATCTGCTTTGGGTCAAAGGTTATTTGCCTGTAACCTTTGTATTTGTTGTACAAATTAGTACATTTGGTTACGGTCTGTTAGCTTTGGATAACCTTTCTGATTTCACATTTAAACACTACAGACCTTTTGCTGTGGCAACGCTTACACTGAGTAACCACCACATTACTGCACAAGTTAACAATTGTTGGGGCATGTGAGAACACCCAGCGAACATTATAAGGAATTTTGTGCTTTGTGCTGTGTGCCTATGTGTGTGTGCAGGGGTCGCAACATTCCAGCAAGAGTTTAAAAAAACGTTCCTGATACAAACAGGGGAACTCACTTAAAAAAACAAAACTGTGCATAACAAATACATAAACAACATCAAGTTACAAACTGGCTTTATTTATGACAGCACAATATATGAGTGCAGATCACCATGTAACAAAAGTTACACATTCATTAGTCAAGAATTATAATATAATAAAGGAAATGATTTAAAATGTTGTTTATGTGGTATGGCTTTAGCAGTGTGCCATGTGAAACATAAACAAGTAACAATCTTTTAGTGATTTTAACCATAATATATACTTTAAAAAGTGTTATTCACAGTCTCATTCCTTCTTCCAGCAGAGGTCAGCCTGTAGTAACGATACAAACAGCACACTCTGCAGTCTGACTGATTATTTAAAAAATATAAAACACTCTTCAGTGCTCAAAGCATGTGTTTGAGGTTAAATGTTGCTCTAATTCAGTTTTAAGAAAGCAGAGAGTAAAATACTTCAGCAGTTTTTAAACTTAGCAATACATCAACTCTCATTAACTGAGTTCATGTATTGCTTCATTGTCTTTAAAATGTAACATTTTTGTACCAAATCTGTTCACAGCTTAAAATCTAGACCTTTGAGACCCTAAAAAGGCAGTCAAATATATATATGATAACCTTTTCAAAGCATCATTAACAGCTGGAAAAATGTGTTTTCTGGCTGTGACAGTACAGAAGCAATTGTAGTGATGAATTTATCTACACTCATCATAGGCATGAATGTCATGGTAATTTTGAGCTTTTAATGATTTCTTTGAACTAGACTTTTTAAAGGGTGGAATGACTTCTACAGCATCTTTTATGAATACAGGTGCACAAGGGACTAATAAAAGTTATCTCATCTTAAGTTTGAATTTACTTTGGATTTTCTCTAATCCACAAGTCAAAAGTATATGTACAGGCTCAAATATATAGACAGACAGATGTACAATCCCCCTCCTCCCCCTCCAAATGCCTCCGATGCCCGTCCTTTATGTTGTATGGTGTGTTCATGTGCTCTCTGTGCTGCTGTGTTTTTTTCTGTTCTCAAACTGCCCTCCTGTAGGAGCTCAGTCTGGGTGGAGTTCTTTTTTCTCCCCGTCTTCCCAATGTGATGTATGTGAAATGTATGTACGGTTGGAAGGAGTCAATTTTCACAGCATATATTGCTTTAAAGTTGCCACCTAGTCACTTGTGGACATTTCAGGTCCTGGTTGCCTAGGTGACCCACTACTTTATTTATGTCAATCAACAGTATTCTTCCCTGTCATTGGTAGATGTCTAATGACCAAAAATCCCAAATATTCCAATGAAACATGTATGCTGTGTAATCATCCCACCCATTAAAATCTCGAATTCAAAGAAATCATTAAAAGCCCTAAATTACAGAGACACACATGCCCACGATGAGTGGATGTAAACCTCTGATCACAACTGTATCTACTTCAGTTTTTCCTCCCTGCTCACTCTTCTGGTACTTCTTCTATAATAACTTCTTGCTAAAATCTGGTGTGTGATCACAACGTGGCATTAAGCGACTGAGCCACAGATAAGTGTGCATTGGTCACAAGAGCAGACTTGTTAAATGGGAGAGCCCATTCAGGGTAAGTATTCAAATTAAACATGGCAATGCCCCACGTATTCATTGCCAGAGTGACTGACAGGATACCCAGAATGTTCATCACGAAGCCAGTTTTCACCTGAGGAACCAGAAATGGAAAACAAAAGCTGTAATTTTGTGTAATATTTTCAAGGTCAAGACCCAATGAGGATCTTACCATGTCTTTCACCATAAGGTGTCCAGATGCGAAGGCAATTGAGTTGGGTGGTGTGGACACTGGCAGCATGAAGGCGTATGAACATCCTACTGTGGCAGGTATCATGAAGTACAGAGGGTTCACTGAGACATTAATAGCCTGTGGAGGGAAAAGATGTTTATGACAGGATGTATAAAAAGGCCCATTATGCTTATTTAGAGTGAAAATCCAGAATCTTAAATTTAAAGTACAGTAAGGGGACAAAGGTGAAAAGAACATTCATTAGTCATTTGGCAAAGGCAGCAAAATACAGAAGCATAAAAGTTTTATATACTTCATTTTGGAGCAATACTTTGCAAAAACAGATAATACAGGAGCTGGGTTTGCATGGCTCTCTGCAGCCAGAAGTGCAACAAGATCATATTCACTGGAGTTCAATTAACATATAATATACAAAATTAGTTAAAAAAAATTAAGAAACTAATTAAGAAACTAATATGGGCTGTAAATGCAATAACAGTCAATCAGTCCATTCTTTTATTGTGTGCTTTAGGAGGCTAGCCTACAGATTGTTTAAATCCTAAAGCCTTTACTCATCACTGACTACATTTCTGAAAAATCATGTTACAGTACTGATATGAACTAACTATGTACAGAATAGTTACTTTTTATTTTTTATTAAATGCTAGCGTTAACGTGATCACATGTTCACTCTATATAATTATAGACTGTATATCAAGATGGAGGCAACTTTGCTAGTTACAAAACAATTGTATTGGGATCTGCGGGAAAATGGATGTTTGTCTCCCTCGATCTATAAACTCATTTAACACTTTGTTGATGGGTTTGTGGTCTTAATCACTAGTTTTAAGTCTTATTGTCAGCGCCACCCATTGTTTGTAACTTCCAGTTTCAAAACAAGATGATGATGGCCAAAATACTCAGCTCAAGGATGGGAATTCAGTAACCAGTTAAATAACAAATAATAACACCACTAATGAAGGTACTGCAGAATGGGAGAAAAATAAAAATATAGGAAATGCCATTCACTTGTTATCCCCATAAGATAAATGTTTTACAGCTATTCATCTAGTCTAGAAATAAATTATTATTTTAGCACG